TTCTAACTAAAGCTCCAAAATTAATATAGTGGAGAAGCCTGGATAGGAATTTACTGACAGTTTTCTTTTGCCATAAATTCAGCATTAGAAAAAAAATCCAGAACAGCTGAAATGGCATAGCCTTTGACTGAGTAAAAAATAGACCTATTTATAATATCAAAGGAGACTTATGATAATACCCCAGTTGGATTTTGAAAAAATGCAGGAGGGAATAGAGTAGAACAATTGCATTTCTGTTTATATTTGCCCTAGAAAGTAGCCCACTGTGAAGAAATATTTAGGAATGTGAATGACTGAGAGATTGTCTCTTAGAGGCAGCAGGTATAAGATGTCTGAAATTCCTTTGAGCTATAATTGCTTGTTAACAACAGAATTTTTTTGTAATTATTTCTGCCCACAGTTCACAAGAACTTAATGTGCATTGCTTTATGTGGAGAAGTTTTTAGAAATCACCTTTTTCTGTATTTAATTTGTGATAAAGACAAGGCCATGCTATATGGAAAAGAAATTTTAAAAGGAATTCTTTAAAAAAATATTATTCCAACACTATAAAATTGAGAGAATTTTCTCTACAAAAATAGGAGTTTCTGTGCAAATGTTTATTCTATTTATAGCATTAAATGCAATTGCAAGAATCCATCTTCATGGCTGTAAAGACTGAGTGTAGTGTTAAGAGGCAAGTATAATTACTAATCCACAAATATCATTGAGGAATTTTGTACTATTCAGTGAATTATGCAGTTTGGATTTAACTTGTGACAAAATATGCATTAAATGTGTGGACCTAGTCCAAACCCCAAATCCAAACAAAGCAAGTTCCTACATTTTGTAAGTTTGTTGTTTGTAAATTTTATCTTTTGAGTCTGTGGTTCTCAATACCAATATTAAATTACTTAGTATCTATATTTTTCAGAAGTGAGGATGCTGAGACCGTGCTATCACAGCAGTGTTTAACAACAGCTCTTTTCAGAGCCTACAGCAGTGTAAGCATCATAAGCTGTGAGGAAAAGCAGACTTTTTAACAACAGTCACTATCCATCTTTTTACTTAATATTATTTAATGACATTTGTTTGATGACATGTTCAAATAAAGAAATGGCCTCTTTTTAAGTGCAAATGCTGGTTTTATCCATAGTTTATTTTCATTGAGCTTGTCATAAATGTTCTAAAGATGCATAAGAATACAAGAAGATATTTAGGAACACTTGGTTTCATCCTAAATATTATCCTGGTAATAAGTGACTATAATACACTGACAATCATCAAAATTCTAGATATAGCAGAGATCTGGCATTGCTTAGGTTCATAACTGAGGCCCAAATGCACACACAGCTGCAGGGCACTTGGAGCACCATTTCCTTCCACTCCTGTCTTAGGAGCTGATTACTGCACAGATCTCTCTGTATTGTCAAAGTGAAAGTCCGAATAATTCCACTCAAGGCCATAGCTTCAAGTGAATGTAGAGCTCATGAAAGGTCTTAGCCCACGAGCTGCAGTCAGAAGATTACAAATTAATTAATGATTGACTAACATCCATGTATGCCTGTATGAAAAGATGGAGAGGACAGGAAGGGTATTGTGAGAAATACAGATGGTCATGGTCAATTGTGATTCCAGTTTTATAAACTGGTCCAGTCAAGCTGTAGAGCAGATTTGAATACTCCTGTTTATTATATAAACTAGAGGCATTGTTTTAGTTCAGGGAAATCTCTTTGATTATTGTTCACTGATGAAGTTACATTTGTAGTGGAATCATGGCTTATTTTGAACATTAATTTGAAAATACGGTAAGATGACAACTGTTACTCTATATAACTGCTGGAAGAGGAGAAAGTTACTCACTCAGCTAAGAACTCTCACTTTGTATATCTTTGCATATTGCAAACATTCTATTCTTGTTTAATGTTGTTTTAGTTTTTTCCATTGTGTGTTTATCTTTAAAATAAATGTTATCTAGATATGACTCCAGAGAAAGTTAGCAAACATACATTTATTTATTGGACTTCAATCTCTAAAAAGACCTGCAGAATAGACCCTAGAAGCTATAGTTAATAAAATTTACTGCATTGAAAATGTTATGATCTCCATTTTCTCATATTTCTGCTCAAGAACCTGGAAATGAAAGTATTTAAAGAATGAATAAATTACAGCTATAAATCCTATAAAGAAATATGTTTAAGATAGAATTTTATTTTGGTAGGCCCATAGTAAAGCTCATAGTGACAGAGAGCCCAGTATATCTGGTAGATTTCTACCAGATTCTTTTTTTAAATGGGCTCATATTTAATTTTACATTACTACTTAGGAATCGACTTCCAAAAAGCCATAACAGTGGCTACTGTTCTTTCCCTTAGGGTCCGAACAAGGAAATCCAATGTTTTCTGGTCAGCGGTAGGAATTCCACTTTGTAATCTGACACTCTTCATTCCTCTCCTCTCAAAGGCAGTAAACCAAAAACTTAAAGGCAGAACAGATTTTCAGATCATGTAGCATTTGTAAATCCTCATGCACATTTAATGATTTGTTGGCATGTACAAACTGAAAGCTTCATGACCTGGCCTTTCTCTTGTCAGTTCCTGCTCTCATCACATTGTCTAGTTATGCACGTTTCACTGAGAATTCATGTTTTTGCATTTCTCTGATTTCAGCCCTATTGTTCCAAACTCATGAGGAATAAAAAGTCATAGAAGAGTAAAGACCTTCACATTAGGAGGCTGATACAGCTTGACTGTAGCCAATGGAGCTATGCTAGTTCATACCAATAAGTATGCAGTGATTGGAAAGATATTAGTCCCTTTTTTCTATTTTTTAATATCTGGTCTCCAGCAAGCATGTAGTGGTGGTATGATTCTGCATATGTATGCAGTGGTAACAATTGAGTCTTTTCATGCTCAGAGTGAGTAACTCAATTCTAGTCAGTCTGTAATTTCTTTCTGGCAGGCTCGTTATTTCTCTGCTGATGGTATGGTTATGGTTAAGGGCAGCTGTACAATTTTAAAACACAATTTTTCTGTAAGCACAGTGTGCCTGTTCAAGCACACTTCTGTCCTAACAGCACATAAGCCTGCTCATCCAATGACCACGGCTGCATTGGCTGTAGGATATGGTTGTAAGATACTCTATAGACCAAACATCTTGACACACAGTTTTAATTGCTGCTATCATCTCTGTTAATTTATCTTTCTGTGATGGATATGTATTTCTACAATAGTAATTATAAAGTCTCTGCACTCTGGACTAGGAAAATTATCTAGTTGCTTTATCTGCTGGTTCTCATTAAGGATTTGTTCAAGTTCATGCTGGTGTCAGCATGCCCTCTGACTTTATTGAAGACCTCAGTGCTATTTGAAAAAAATCAGATTATTTTCAAACATGATACAAGCTGCAAACTCAGTTGGAGCTGTGTAAACTTCCATAAAACTTGTTTGTAGTAGGAACAAATGTAGTAAGGAGAGCAGTTAGGAAATCTCTTGATGGTTCTTCTCTGTGCTTTCAACATATATGCTGCACTTTATATATTGAACCTCCTTAGTCACTTCTGTGACTAAGCTGTTAAAGATCCTTTTGAAGAGATAAGTGTTTTTGGAATATTTCTTAAACTATTATATTTGCTGGACTTTCAGAAGAAATTCTGAGAAGTCCACTCCTGCAGCTAGTAAAAATTTCTGGGTAAATAATAGCAAGGTTTTGATGAGTTCTACACTTGTAGTTTGAGTGCATCCCTATAGCGGACATCTCTGGTATAGACTTCTAGCTTGAATCCGTACCCAAACAGTGACAGAAGCTATTAATGTAAATTAGAAAAATAAAAGCCTGTATAGATCCATATGTTTACTGTAAGAAAGTTGCAACAGTAAATTCAAGCACAATGATTTTGTGCTCCTATGATACGATGTGGGTATTTTTCATTGTCACTCTTAGTGAATTATGTACATCTGAAGTTTCTGCATTGCCTGCAAAGCAGAGAGGGATTTAGAAGAGAATGCATTTACTACATTTACTACACCCTGTTCTTCCAGCACCTCAGACTTTCTGCATACTCATTTGAAATTAGCTGCTGGGAGGAAGGAACACTGGCAACAGTGTTAAGGAAATGCAGTCTCAGGCTCTGCACTCCCTTAATTAGAAGCCTGAGACTCATGGTTAATGGTGATTAATGTTCCATTCTATTTTGCCAGTTCTTCCTTGTGGGAAAAGATCACATAAAGCTGAAGTACTTTCAAATTGCTGTTGATATTAATGAATTTATTTTTAAAAGGAAAGTTATTTCTACATCTGTTTCTGACAAATTAAGAATAAAACTCTTATCCAAGAGCATGTCATTTAACTAAGCCTGACAAACATAACTGCACCTAACTGCTTCTCTTTCCCACACTGTTTTATTTTTTTAAACTTCAAAGTCTCTAAATTCCTCCTGATTGATGCGCTGATATTTTAACAATGTCTTTGTTGTGTACTGCAATCAGACAAGTGCTAATAACCTTGAGGAATCTGGCAGGACTGTGGGAATCTTCCAGCCATAATTGTATCTTGCCGTAAATGTGATGATACTGGCAACTTCAGATGAATTGACAGAATGTGCTGTTGCTGAGGGTGATACCAACTTTCTCCATTGATTTACAAGTCTAAGGTCATTCATTTATGCATTCTTTGCTGTCTCTGGTATGGAGTTTTTTAGTGCAGTTCTGGAAGATGTTAGAGCATAAATGCCTGCTGTATTTAAACAATGAAATAGTGTAATCAGGGGAAAGAACAACAGGAAATCCTAATTACATAGTTAAAATTGCTAGCACGATGAATTATGATCAGTGACACTGAATTTTAATGTTATAGTTAAAGTTTATTAGCTTGCATTATGAGAAAAATAAAGCAATACAAAGGTACTGAATGTAGCTCAACTTACCGTCTAACCATGTTAACCCAAGTCTTGGATTTACATACTCAGTCATTTACAAATTATTTTAGCTGAACACTTTAACGTGTTTGTTTTTCTTTAACAGGTTCTGAATTCAGAATTTTTTGGGGCTAAGAACATTGCAGATGATTCACTACATGCCTAAATGTGTAACCTCCTCATATTTATTCAGTTTTTGGATCTGTGCCTCAAGCCGTGGTTGTCACTTGTTCAAATTCTGTTACAGACCATCCACTTCTCTGGTAATAAATATGGTTTCCCCAAGTGTAGGGGTAAAAACACTTGATTGTTTATTCTTGTGAATTACTTTACATTTCTTCTTTCCCTGTATTTACATGAGAAAAGTAAGATACCTGTAATTTAAATTATCTAATAGACCCATGACTTGCAAAATATTTATTCACTGGATTTAATTTTTATGACTAGACTATGAAGAATAAAATAGCGTTTCCTCTTTAGCTGTTTTTTAAAGAGAGAGTGATTCACTTATTATGTTCAGATTAGCACTAATGGAGGTTCAGGGCCACTATCATTCTTTAATTAATGCAACAGATGAGAGATAAAAAGGTGCTCCTTACTTGTTTTAACTGCATGTACTCTGTCTGTGCTTCCTGAAGACCACTTGGCCTACAATCACTTTAAAAAATACCACGATTTGGCTCTGAGTCACATGTTTTGATAGAAATCAGATAGCCAAAACCACAAGAATCTTAACTTGTTAGAAATGGTGACTGTTCCAAAAGTGTGAATCCAGAAGACTGGCATACATACAGTAAGTAGAGGATGCACAGAAAAGCTCCTGATATACATGATAGCTTTCAGTTTTATTTACTTTTTCTGCTGTTAGATCACTGGAAAAACGTGAGCACCTTGCCATACAGGGCTGGGGTTTTTTGTTTGCTGTTCTAAGGGCAGAATATATACTCTGCATATTAGCAGTTACCTCAATCCTAAATTTTTATGTCAGAACTTGGTCAGAAACTGCTTCATGGAACTATTTCTTAATGATCTTGCACCTTTCCTCCTGCAGCACTAGAAATTACTGTGTACAGTGTCCTGGACATGCTCTGAATTCCCCGACAGAACATGATACAATCACTCTGTTGAAACAAAGAGGTGTAACTCTTCTTAGTTTACTGTATTATACTTAACAATTTTGTCCTTTAGGATTTTCTCCAAGTGCTCTAATTGTTGCAACAATTCGTAGCAAAATGTGCCTCTCAGGAAAGATCATCAGCTGAATTAATTTTGATGTTAAGATATGGCCTGTGCTTACTTGTCATTCATTAACTTTGCAAATGTACCCACCAATTTCTTGTGTAACCATCCCCTGAATACCACATAAGAAAAGGCTAGGAAAAAAAAAATCTTAGGAGAAACAGAACCAGCTGAAATTTGTAATTTTGTTAAAATGTACTCACCTAGCAAAACACCATCTTTTGAAGATTTCTGTGGGATAGTTAGACTGCCTTATTACTGCATGGTGGCCACCATGTATATTTTGTGTATTTAGTATTATTTTGTGAACTACTGTTGATGTACTGTATAATTATTGAATCTGGCTATGATACCAAGCTCTAAGGTCTAGCCAAGGTAGCTAAGTAGGGTCTTATACACTGAAATAGCAATTTTTATTATTTCAGGTTTGGAAGTTGGAATTTTCTTTGTTCATTACCTCTTTATGGTTATTTTGCTGCTGCAGGAAAAGCATGCACTAATAACTATGTAATACTGTTGGTCAAAAATGTGTCTTATTTTCCTCCATAATTAATTTCTTCCTTTCTATTTCCTCTTAAGCAGCCCTATTATTATCATCATTAACAATGTTTACTTTTAATCAGTTGTGGTATTTTAATTCTCAGCTCTTACTTATTTTTCCTTATTATTCTCAATAATTGCAATGTTCTGGCAATATCAGTATCACCTGAATCTAAATGCAAATAGTTTGTTTCCAAGCTATTGTTTTGATTCTGTCTTATCTGTTCAAATAAGGAAAGCGTGAATTCCTAGAACTAATCACTGTAGTGTTTCATTAATGTTATCTCCAGCTAATTATTTTCATTTGTATTTTAATATAGATCATTCATCACTTCTTAAACAGCTAATTTAATTATTTTTAGACAAAAACACAAAAATGCAATTTAAAGTTTCCAACTTGCACCCAACATAGTTAAAGATGAAGTATAACTTAATGTGTGAGAGAATCTTTGAAAAATAAAAGGCTGCTGTGTTTCTAGGTGTGTGATGTTTTTAACAAGGATAGATACTGTGGAAGCAGGATTTATGCTGCTGGCAAAACTGACCATTAGCAGGGCGTAAGATTATTTGATTATTTTGCACAGAGACAAGGCAATTGACTCATCAGAAGACAGGGTTATTGCTGAACATACACAAACCAATGACATGAAAGAGAAATTACCACAGACTGTAGTGAGATGGTGCACTGTAGATAACTTTAAGTTCTGTGGAAAAGAAATATAATTTTTAATGAGGCCCATCAACCCATTTAAAAACAGGGATTCAGATTCTGAGCTTTTATGATGTGACCAGGGAAATTCTGAGTTAGAGATCCCAGCAAATCTCTCATAATAACAAGCAGATATGCACCTAAAGGGTAAATGAGCAATAAGGTGAAAGTAATTTATATGAAAATGCTGGTCTTTAATTTAAAGGAAGGCTAAGACAAGTGAGAAATATGTGTTTTAGCATAGGGCTGGATCCCTAAAGAAATCCAGAATCCTCAACCTCTAGCAATAGCCTTTTTAGCAAGAGCTCCTAAACAGGTCTCATTTATTTATATTGGGGCTCATTTTCACATTCTTTTAAAGTTGATATAGAGATACCATATCAAACAAGGTGATTGATTCAGGTTTCAGTGAATAATTGGAGAAAGACAATTCTTCCTACAGGAAAATACCATAAATCCTAATCATTAGGCTCCTTTAGCAGGGTTTTCTCTGCCATTAAATTTATTTTTAAAGTCTTTTTTTTTTTCGCCAGCATTCTGGACAACACAAGTCTTAAATGATGAAACCTTGCAAGCTCAATTATATGGAATTTAAAGCCAAAACACTAGATGAAATTTTTGTGGCTTAATAACACATAGAAGCTATTATTAAGCTGAAATACAAAGTCAGTTACAGAAATGCAATTTTATAATGAAAAGGCACAATATTTTCAAAGAAGCTTCATGCAGAACTGTGATCTTTCTGAAGACACTTCAGTGGGTTATGTAAAAAGAAAGGGTTTATTGCAGTTGTTTGACTTTACAGTCTTACACAAAAAAGAATTTCATTACTTGTCATTAAAAGCTTCAGATACTGGAGCAATTGTTAGTGTACTGAGACAAATTTGGTGTTTCTTAATAAATTTCTTTTTCAGTTCTGAATAAGTTCTGAGGTTATATGATTTTTTCTAAGTAGGGTAAAGTCTGTTTGCTGGTTTTAAGCCAGTTGCAACTCACTCTTCATCGTTTATTTGGTGTATATATTCTTTGAAAGCATCTATTATTAAGGCTCCCTTAAGTTTAGTGTTGTGTGTGGCAATGAACAATGAAAGCTGATTTCAAAAGTGTTGGAGCTTTTTAAGAATTGTGGTTAAAACTCTTTGTACATGTTCCATTATTTTTTCTTCTGAAATTTAGAATATATGGCCTTGTGCTGAGGAAGTTAACATTATAACACTCTTTTCCAGTTACAAGGAAATTCCAGTACTTTTTCCAGTTACAAGGAAATTGCTACATTGTAATTGTTAGTACATAATTGTGATTAGTGATTGACAAAGAAAAGCCTAATGGTGTCAGTCAGTATGCAGACCATATCAAAAATATATGCTTCAACCTTAAAAAGCATTTTTCCAACTCACAAATCTTTTCTTTCAGCAAGATCCAGGTTTCCCCAGGTCATACAGACTGCATGTGATCGTCCACATTAAAAGATCATCTCCAAATTATTGTCAGTATGTATGTGCATGTCTTTTGTTCTTTGGAAGAGACATGAAGTTGTGTGCCCCCAGGCTTCCTAGGACATCTGAATCTCCTAATCTGTCACATGTCAGATTAGTGCTTTTGTGAGGCCATAAACATAATGTAGCCCCACAGAATGTGTTAATGCTGTAAAAAGCTTTTTTTTCAGAGAGAGTATGTCTGACTTGTAAGATTATAATTTATAATTCTTATTTGATGGGTATTTTAGGTATTCTATAGGTATAACTGTCTCAAGGTTATTTTTTTTCCCCCTTTTAAATTATATATGATGTGCTAACTACTTTCTGGAAAAATTAAATACTTTATCCTAATGAAGATGCTGTTGCACAATATGCCCTGCAAAGTTTAGGGAACTTTTAAACTTTGAGTGTATTGGAATATCTTGTGGCAAGGTCCAAGCAGATGGAAAAAGAATTGCTTCTCAGGAAGCTTAAATTTAAATACAAAACAACTTCTTTTGTATTTTATTTTTGCTTTTAATTTCTTTTCAGAATTCTGGATAAACCAAAATATATAGTGCTGGCAAAAGTGCTAGACTGTGTGGTTTCCAGTTTGGCTTTACAATCAATAATCCTCAAAACAGAAAATAAAGGCTTCTCAGGGAGAAACAACAATCAAGGTTGAAAGTGTGATTCAAGAAAGCACGGTTTACCCTAAGAATTCCATCCTTTTACACTGTCTGGAAATAGAAATCTCATTTAACATATTTTGGAGATGGATGTGATCATTTCATAATATCTGTATTAGAAACAGGAAGAGTTTCACTACATTTGGGATAGGAGCAGGAAAGGAAAACAGTGAAACTAGAGCCACATGAGACAAGTCAGGGAAAGGATTTGAAAAATATCCTAAAATACTGTATTACAGATGGCTGACAAGATGATGAGGATAAACTACTAATTCAAACCCCTGGGCTGGAGGGCATAATTATAACTTCTTGCAAGGACAGTTTTATCAGAGTGCAAGGTGTGGAAGTGCAATAGTCCACAGGATAAGTAAAGCAAAGGCGAATCCAACAAAAACCAAACTAGACCAAGCAAAGAAGAATCCATCAAAAACCAATCTGCATCATTGTTCCGTCTTTTGGTTCCTGGCAATGCAGTGATCAGTGTATAAAATCCTGAGCATCCAGATAAGCATAAAATATGTAAGGTATTCACTTCCTATCCTTGAATGTGGGGAATGTGTGGAAATT